GACCGAACACCAAGCCGACGTGCTTGAAATAAACGGGTCAGGCCCGATTATCCCATCCGGATTCGGCACACCGGAAACAGGTGTAGGGACGTGATCGTAAAATCCACCGTGTTCGTCATAAGTAATCAAAAGAGCCATCTCTTCCCATTGCGGGCTCGCCCTAAGCGTCTCGTAAACCTCCTTCACAAACTTCTGCCCGTGCGCCACGTCGTGCGAGGGATGATCGTCGTTCGCCGGGCACACCTCCACGTCGAAGTACCTCTGCTCGATCACGACATAGTTCGGCAGCTTCCCCGTTTTCGCGTGGAGTTTGAACTTCAGCGCGTAGTCGTGGAACTTGATGATGTGCTTCAGCTTCCTGAGGCTCTTGAAGAACAGAGTGGCGGGGATATTCTGGTAATATATCCCGAAACTGAGGTCGTTTTCGTCAATTGAGTCGAAGATCGTCTTCTGTGGGAACCCGTTGATCAGGTCTTTCCTCACGTTGCTGGAGGCGCCGTGCGAGGTGGCGGAGTGAACGTAGAACCGGTTCGGCTGAGTCGAAGCGGGAACCGACGCGAACCACCGGTCCATGACGGCGAACTCGTTTGCCAACTCGGTGTAAACCGGCACTAACTCCGGTTTGAACCCGCTCATGACGGTTTTCGACATTCCGTCGGCCTCCATGCTCTCGGCCTGCTGCACGAACCCGTTCATCGGGGCGGGGTTTGCGGAGGTGTCGGCGCCGCCGAATATCTGCTCCCTGATGGCTTGGATGGAGTGGCCCGGGTCGGAATCGATGAAGAAAGCCTCGTCGGAGACGTAAACGGGTCGGGACTTCGGGTCGGACGCGTTGACCCGGTTGAATTCGGATCCGGTGAGGCCGTCGATGTCGGGTCGGGTGCGCTTCATCCAGCCTAGGATGTGATCGAAGGAGCGATTCTCCATAACGAGAACTACTAGGGTTTTGATTGGGCCTTCGATTTTGTGCTTTTCCTTTTTAGGGAAGGGGAACGAGTGAGAGACGGCGGAGGAAACTAGAAGATAGGCGAAGACGGCGAAAACCAAACGGCTCCGCCGGATTAAACCCATTTTTTCCGTCGGCGGCGGCGGCCGGAATTAGAGAGAGAAAGAAGAGAGAGAGAGAAGATTACAATTGAAGGTATATACTGAAGAATTATACTACTCGAGTTTTTGGAGTTTCATCATATATCAGTGATATTAACTTTGTTTTGACTGACAAATCATCTGTAGGGATAGGTGGTAGCTTTCAAGTAAGGGTTAGCTTTTAATTCTTCTAAATATC